TTAAAATTTTTACAACGTTTTAATACTTAAAAATCTTTATTCTATAGTTTGATACAATTATTTCATCAGATATATAAATCTATCATTATAAGCTGTGAATCGCGATAGTCTCATTAATTAGAATTATATAAACTTATATGAAAAATTAATGTATAAAAATATTTTATATTTTCATATAAATATACTTCTTTTATTTTATCATTAAGATTAGAAATTAATTTTTCTACGACAGCCACACTCTACCTTTGACATTTAAATTTGTGAAGTTGCTATTATTTAATACCGTGTCCTTGTTTATTATCTTTTTGTACATACACTCTTATAAATATATATATATATATATATATGTCTGGGATTAAATGTTGTGTCAATACCAGATTAAAGTGGGAATTATATTGAAAATATTAACTTTATTTCTTATAAATGACATGTAAATTCATATATAAAACAAGTCTACTGTGACAAGCGAACCAATTCAAATTAATTTGCCTTTAACTTTTCAAATGGCAGTTATATCTTTCAATAATGTGCTATGTATCTGCTATTGGATTTATAATAAAATTATACATTCCAAGTACTGCTAACGATCAGAATCAATAAAAATGTCAGTCGTAATCGGGAAATGAAATTAAAATTAACTAAGCACGATGGTGAATATTTCCATTAAGTCATCAAATTTTAGATACGATTTTTCCTGTCGAATTATCTGTCGAAGTCGCGACTGCGCGATGACGTCAAATTTAATCCACTAAATTAATGGTAGTGGTAACCTTTGCGCTCGGCCTTAAAAGTAGATCGTCGGCACTTTCATTAGAGACGCCATCGCGAACTTTTAATCGTCGCTAACTCGATACATGTACGAGTAGCAGTAGTAAAATGACGATAAAAAAGTCATTAAAATATTGCTTATTATTTAGTATATTACGAAAGCCGGATACTTTAAAAAAATAAAAATTACCTTGCTGATATATTTTCGGATAACTATAAATCATTTGAAAAGTGGATCAGTTAAAGCTACTCTTCATGACTGCCAGTGATTTATTATTGTAGCAATAAAAGTAAGATTTATTATTATTCATATAAATCTAATTTTGTGATTTAAAGAAATTCATGGAATTTAACATACAACCGTTTATTAAAAGCATCAAGATTTATATTCGTGCGTACACAATATTTTTCGTTAAAAATTTCACTAATTGTTTAAATAGTGAAGTATAATTTTTCGGCAGGCAGATTTGTTGATATTAGACGAAACGAAATATTCTTTTATTACTTTTCTTTATCTAGAAATAATCCACGATAATATAATAAAACTGAATATTAGAATAAATGCCTCATGTTACATGGAATGTATACGTGTATATACAATAGTTTTCATATAAACCATAATTTTTATGATTATATATATCGAATATCCCATGAATTCTGTTCACGGAAAATAAAGAGCATAGCGTATTTAAGTCGCGTTGACATAAAAAAATTCATACTCATAGACGATAGATGATAATAATGGATTTTATCCACCAATTAACTTCCAATAAGAATAAAATTATTCCTATTGCATAGAACTGATGGTATGCAATAAAGTTCATTCAAATTTTTGCTCTTTGCTTTATTACAATACACTTTCTCCACTCATCTATCAACATATCGTGATTTTTAATAGAATACTACTTTTCTCTCAGCGAGCACCGTTGTGACCCTTTACTCTAATGCATTGCTCAACCTACTTTAGCGACTAGATAATTCATACACGAAATGCGCTGGTTTCGAGTAGTATTTTGATGTTGCGATTATTAGGATGACTAATAAGGTTCTTAAAGAAAATAATAATAATACTTCTTTGAACTTCCTTTTCATTACTTTCACTACAAATGAAAGCTACGACTTTGTATATTATTCAGCTATTTTGAATGATGATTTTCAAGTCTTACTTGCTTTAGTTTCCCTTCTACAAGAATTACTTCATCGAATAATTATTTTCTTTATATTTCAGTTTAAAAAATGCTTATAACGATGAAATTTAATTGTTTATATTATCATTAAACACCATTTCTATTATTTGGCACAATGTCAATTGTCATGTAAAAAAGAAAGAATGGAATGAAAGAACAATGGTTCTGATAGCTGATAAACGAGATATAAATCTGAGCTGCATTTAAGGCAGTTTAGTTTTTTACACTGTATAACACTACACGCGCGCGCACACGCACACGCACACGCACACAAAGCATTCAAGCATATATACATACGTGTGAGCACGTATACGAATATTCACATAGATGAAGATGTAGTGGAATCTCCGTCTACTTTTATAATCGCAAGTGCACATTATCGATCGGCGAGAAAGACGGAGAAAAATTGTAAGCTTTAAAACTTGGAGAGTAGGATCATAAATCGCGAAATGGCCGTCGATTGTTTCGCATAGGGGATTATGCACCTGTGTTGATAGCTTTGGCGAAGGGATATTTCTCCTCCTTTCGTTTGTTTGCTTCATCCATATATCCGTTGCCTTAGTCGCGCTACATTTTTCCTCGTTTCAACGATGATACTCTGCGACTTCCAACGTCACTTTTATTTATTTATTTATTTATTTATTATTATCACGAAATAATGTGCATATTTTTCACTTTATCAATGGATAAACCCGAAAATATATGTATTCGTACTTTTTTATATTGATAAAATATTTTACCCGCTGTAAAATATAAATTATTAAAATATTAAATAAAATATTCTCTTGAAAATTTCAGCTAACCTTATTCGCTATTATTTATTTTACAGTTCGACCATAATACAAGCAGACCACTAATTGTAATTTCCGAGCAAATTTTGTCTAATACGAATGAAATTTATGGCAAATTACTTATAACTAAACTATAAATTCTTTCTTCTTTAAATAGCGGCCTTATCGGGTTTATGCTTTGGTAGATAATTACGGATTATATTTCGAAATACATAACTCCATTGCTTAAAATTTGTGCAACCAATATTATTGTGAGACTTTGGTTTATTATGCTATCAAGAATATTTAAGCGGGCAGTGTTAATTATATAGAGAATGTTTAGTTTTTTTAAAAATTAAATTTCCAAAGTCGAAAATCTCTATAAATACAAATGTTTCTTTACCGTAAAGTTATATATTTATTAATTAACATAATCCGACATAATAATGATTTCAATTTTACTTTTCTTTTGATATTTTTCTCTTTCAATCACACAATTAAAATATATTATATTAAATTTAAGCTCAATAGAAGATGATTATATTAATAATAAACCTTATTACACTTACATCCAGATGTATTATTCGCGTAATATTCAAATTTATAATAATACGGATATAAATGTTTTGATTAACTTTGAATGTCATGGAAGGAGAATGAATTATAGCTAAATGACATCCGATGAAAATTACAACACACGTTGTTTAGCCACAAAGAAAGTGGATATACATTATTTTGGCCCAGATTTTTCTAATGCGCGTGTATAAATTACGGTAAAGGAAAACTTTTTAATTAATAAATAAAATTAACGCAAAGAATTATGCATAAATATTAATTTTCGATTCGTGTATTAATACTAAAATTTCTTTTGACTGCAAATTATTATAATATACTATAGTCCAACCGCTTGCCAAGCTTTTGCGGATTGCTCAGAAAATCTTAACTACGACATGTCAATGATTATGTAACTATATCATTAAGTATAAATAAATTTCTTTTATTTGCTATTAACAGGAACGGAGCAATGTTAAAAGAAAGCTGGTTTACGAAGCTATTAGCAACCAGCGCGGAATCTGACGTTATTCGTGTAAACGTATTTGCTAATGGTCGCAATTGCCGGAACACGCACACGCACAAGCATAGGAAGCCTCGAGGCGGGCGTATAAAACCGAAGGGCGGAGAAATTTTTGTCACCACGTTCGCTTAAAGTTTGGTCATGCAGGCCGCGCAAATGTTCTAAAGCCTGGCGTTAGCGTGCGGCCAAGGGACGGAGGAACATCGGCGACACTACGAGATGCCTACGAGATGCGCAAATCGCTCCTCGTGCGACGCGTCACGCGTACCTCCGCCTAACTATGCTTGTAATTAAAAGCTATATACCGGGGTAAGGGTGGCGACGCGTCCCGACGCCCGTCTGGCGTACCGGCTAGAAAACATTTCTCGCGCGCTTTGCATTTAATTGCAAAATTTATACGCGCATGGGAATCGGACAAAACTCGAACCTACGACCAATACCTATTGCATCTGCGCCATCGTCTCTGTGCGTGGGATAATACGAGAGAGAGAGAGAGAGAGAGAGAGAGAGAGAGAGAGAGAGTGAATGAGTGAGAGAGTGAGAGAGACCTATACCATTCTCTATAATGGTTGGTTGGATTATAGCGATTGAGAAGGGCTACGTCTCATCCAACTCGCTTATTGTCTTCGTTTGGTTTGAAGGATATGCGTATCGATGCTCCGAGTATCTCAACCATTTGCTCTTACATTCTTGGGCTTTAGCACGCACATAATAGATAAAAAGAATGAAATTTAACGATATTTTTAATCATACACTCCTTTCTTATGAACTTTCCGTACCAGATACTTCGTTTACGTTTATAAAGCGTAAAAAAAAAAAACAAACATATAAGCTCTGTACAAATCGCTCTGCTGGTATTATAGATGTCGTCCAATACATATTTCTCTATAAAAGAAAGACTACATTCAATTTGAGCATAAAAATATTCATTCAATATTATTACTTTAACTATCTCTATTTATAAATGATTGAAAAAACAGAGCATTAGAATCAACAATAATAAAAATATAAAATATTATATCAACTTTATCAAAGCTTACTTTTTATCTTAGTTTACCAACAATAGCAAATAAGACAAAACATTTTTTTGTTTATTTTTCTGATTATGCTAAATATTAAAGATAGTTAAGTTAAGGGAGAAAAAGTTTTTTAATCGATATTTTCACGTTTTACTGATAATTGTCTGAAAAATTATTGTAGGTAATAATGTACAGCTCGACAGTCACAGAGTATCAGGAGCCACCAAAGAAGAAAGTTGAAGAACAGGCGTCTGAGCCAAGTCCATTGCCATGCAAAGAAGAGGGAAAACAACCGTTGATATGGTTTAATATAATTGGCATTGGCATTCTTCATATTCTTGCATTACACGCTTTCTTCACTAAATATCATGAAGCCAAGTTTTGGACGTGGATATTCAGTAAGTTAATCATCCGTTATTACCCATATTTCTAGGAAATATTCTTGTCGGGCATATTAAGAAGAAAGCTATAGAAAAATAACGAACAATGCACAGATATTCAGACACAATAAAATCTACATTCAAATAACAAATTAAAAATTAAATAAAGAAATATTATAGAAAATAAGCAATATTATAGGAGATCTAAATTATATCATTTTTAATTAAAAATTTTCAAACATTAAGAGACAATGTTAAATAATGATGTTAAATAAAAAAATTTTCGTATTGATAATCGATGAATCTTTATAGCAACTAATAATCGCGATTGAAAATTTAGCAAATAAAAACATTACGGTTGAGGAAGTATTATTATTATTATTGTAAAAAAAAAAAAAAAAGAAGGAATATTATGTTGAAGAATTATCGCGAAATTAATTTTTTATTCTATACTTTCGATATTCAAAATATTTTTTCTGCACAATACATTTACAGATAACTTATTTAAAATATTTGAAATTTCACAGTTAATAATAATACATTAATGATAAGATCTAACTCGATTTGAGATGAGACACCTCCGATATTGTAATCATTTCTCAGAGTCACACTACTCGAGCGGAATTTTTTATTTTATTTTAATTGACTATTCACTTTAACAGTCTTTTGATGTTATTTTGCAAAACCAATCCAGTAAATCTGTTTTGATACTTAAATGTGGCAATTGAGTTTCTAATGATTATCGGAAATCGATTCTGAGCTGGTGGATGCCTCCTTAATTACCAAGAGAAGTACATATTCATGTCATGTTTCAACCACTGGCACGATTCCAAAATACAGCCTTGGGATCGTAAAAAAAGATAGACACACTGATAATCAAAAAATGAAACAAGAGTGGACGAAAGAAATCATTGTCGTAAATACGAAACTTATTCTAACTGCGCATAAAAATACAGCTAAAATGCATCATATTAATATTCAGAACTTTTAGAATTTTGTAAGAACTATTAATAAAATAGTAACTATAATTTTTATATTATTTATCTCTACATTAATATTGATACATATTTCAGAAATAAATTCATACAATTATATTGTGCGGCATCATATGATGGCATGCAGTATTTAATCACATCATGTAATAATGGTAAAGATGTTAAAATATTACTTATCAGGACCAAATTTTAATTAAACATCGTATAAATTTTAAACTGAAAATACTATTAACCTATTTAAAATTCACAATGAATGATTATATTAAAATTAATGTAACTATATCTCAGAATAGACGTTACATTATATCCAATTTTTTTTGTCTGCTGCACTGATGCAACAAAAATCATTTCTTTATAGAAATTTGTAATCATAATAATAAAATAATACAAAAATATAAATGATCGAGATGAATATTATGAATTTTGATGACTGTTAAAATATAATCTTTAATACCATTTTTAAATATTATCCAATTTTTATTTATAATAATTATGATATATAATTATAAATTTACTTATAAACGTAAACATATAAATATCTACATAGTGTTAGTAGATTGTCTTATGTATTAATTACATGCAAATACAAGTTCATGGTTAACTAAAAAGCAGACAGCTTGTAGATTCGATTAGTAGTAAACTTATGTAATCTTTTAGTTAATTGAAAAACTATTGTATTCTAAGCTAATGATAGTACTGTAATAATCTCGAAACTTTAACAAATAGAAAGGGATAAAGGTAAATGTTTTAATTTATATCATTTGCTTAAATTAATCGTTTAAATGGACTGAAATTTTTTTTTTAATGCAATTCTTCATGCACAGTGAATTATGACTATCAAATTTCAACTTCTAAATTTAAAATTTAAATGTTGAAAAATTGCCAAAAGGGATTTAAATGCGTCAGCTTTCAGTTAAAAAATATTTCAATTAACGAAAATTTCTTGTTTCACATCATCTGATATTATCTACACAACTAATTTATAGGACATTTTGACAAGATTGTTGAATTATCTCGGCAAACCGTACGATTCCTTCCACCTATTTCCAACATATTTCCAATAGCAATCGATAATTACAATCTATCTTATATTTTCCCTCGTTACACCGGTCACTTGGCTAATCCTCAGCCGCGCACTCGTACACAAAAAGTAATTCCCGCGCACCGACGGCTAACACCATTTTTCGGGCTACTAACGCGAATTTCCTCTCACCGCTGCCACAGGCAAAAGTTTATTTTCCCGTTTAGCCGTTTTTCCTCATGGTTACGCTCTCGCGTAATGGCGCGTAAGGCGCGGCTGCAAATTACACCGAAAGCAACGCCGGCGCTCGCGTACCTCGTATTATACGCTTTTTCTGCGAGTCGCGACGCTCGAGACTAGAAGCGATGTCTATACGACGGAAATAAAGTCGACGCGACAGTACGTGGCCAGAGCGACATAACGTTGAATTCTTTCGCTCTCGAATGCTCACTCTGCCCATGGAGTGCAATTACACTTGAATAATTGTCGTTCTATCACTGTAGAAATGAGATTATTCATTGCGCATTGTAATATATTATTGGGTGAGCTTCAATTAACTAATTAGCAAATTTTATAAAATGCGGTGAAACAAAGCAGAGCCATCGTTAAAGTTTTAAAGATAATGGAAAAAATACAATGCTAAAAGGCAGTGTCTCAAGAAACCACTTATTCGATCATTTCTACACGAGCGATAACGTTTAAATTTGAATACTGGTGATCATTAATAAAAAAATTTAATTCTAGACATAAAAGAATAAAATATTCAATACTTTACTTCAGCAATCATAATAAAACCGCGATTTCAACAAAAATAATGAAAATGACCGAAAACCGACATTTTGTGTGTGTGTGTGTGTGTGTGTGAGTGTGCGTGTGTGTATATGTAATTTAACAGGAAACTTTGGCCATTGACATTCCCCACTAGTAGAGTATCGTAGACAAAACGTACAACATTGTTCTTTTATTTTATGAACTTTTTTCAAATACATTTTGACTTGTATGACATTGCAAAGCTATTTAAATATTTTCATATTTATCTGCTTTCTATCTAAAGGAATATAAAATGTCTCAACGACCTACTGAGATATGTCATTTATTACGAAAGTATTACGAAAGTATGGAATAGAATTTTATTTATTCTAGAATTAATTTTATCTTTTATTGATTTATTGATTTTTATATTTTTGAAGAACATATTTGTAAATATATTGCAAAATCTATAGTAATTATATAGTCCCCGCTTATTGCACATATTTAATTTATGGCATTAAAAAAATTTCTTCTCCTATTTCTAATTAAACTAATCAACTACAATAACCAGTTGAAATAAATGGTACACTTACTAATGCTTTTCTTAGCTTACAATTGTTACGAAATATTGAGTTTTAAAACTAGATTACATTCATACCTCCTTGTTTTAGCTTGAATATAAATTATACTGAATTCTAATTAGATTCCAAGCAAGTGTATGCATTTTCGGTAAGGTAAACTTATTTCACAATATTATTAAACAACTAAAGAAGAAAAGTATATGATACATTATTTTTTTATTTTGCATTTAATTATAATTATATTATACAATTTATATAATTAAAATAGTATTTTATAATTATATATATATATATATATATATAGTTTTTATTATAAGAAAAAAAAAACATAATATATTTATATGTTTAATGAAACTTATCACTGATTAATCGGACTCAATTCATATGCATAAAATAAAAACTTAATAAAACTTAATAAAACATAATAAAAATGTTGTGAAATAGAAACTAGCAATTATGTTTAAAGAAATCAAAGTATTCGTTCGAATGATAAAATTGTTCGCTATATTACAACAGCATTCTCACACGAAGTCATAAAACTATATGAGTAACAAGAAGAATTATATAGTGACTCGAATAAATTATTAAATACATAAACTTAGAGATCTCAATTTCATTAGTAGAGAATTATTGTTGTCTAAATTATTTTAAAATTAAATATTCGCCTTGAGATAGTTTAAGGGCAATCAAATTATTTTCTACAATACTGACATACATTTTGTAAAATATTAAATATTTACTTAAAAAATTATATCTATTAAACAATATGCAGTTGGAATGCATTTTAAATAAAAATGTTATTACGTTTAAATTTAATAACTATGCATCCTTAAGTTAATTAAACATTAGAATAAGTCAATGCAACTGTATTCTTAATAATATATGGAAATAAATATTATTTTTGGAACTAAATTACAAAAATACCATAAAATGACAAAATATAGTAAAAGTTGTTCATATTATGGAAATGTAAAACAAATAGATTTCATAATAGAATATTACAATTATAATTATATCTCAATTTCAATATTCTTATTTTTCATCATATTACATTACTAAAATTTATAATTTTAAAACACTTACAAAAACATACCCAATTTAGCATTTTTTCAACATGAATTACCTTTTTCTGGATAAGTTGTTTGATATAGAATTTCTTTATTATATTTGAAGGTAACAATACATAAACATGATATGGTAACTTATGATATTTTATTTTAAAAAGTTACTAAATGAATCTGAATATTTAAATAATTATCTTCTTATAAATATAAAAAAAAAATTTCATATCTATATAAATGTAATTAATGTATAATTAATGTATAATGTAATTACTTTCACGTAATATTAAAATAATATATTTTATAGAAAGATTTCATTATACATATTATTAAAGATGTATACTACTTATATATAGATTTTTAATGTATATATTAATACTTTTATATACAGCAAGAAAGTCATGGTAAGAAATAGCTTATTAATAATAATTTTTTGAACTCGACTAACGCAATGATCTTGCATCATTAAATATTTAGGCATAGATTATAATAATCCTTGATGAAGATAAAGCTGAGTAATATGCGATGAAACTTACTTTTCGAGAAAAGCTCCAAATTAAATTTAGCCACATATTTGCAACTTTTTTAAACCCTTGAATTATTTGAAAAATCCCATCCTAAAAACAATCCCTTCCCCATCATCCCAAGATAAAACTCCCTGAAGTAAAAGAATAATCTTTCTCACAAAATCGAACTTGAAAAATATTTTTCAAAGATTCTCTGTGTATGGATCTTTAAAGATAGGATCACAGTTAAATCTTAAATAATTGAGGCAAATAATTGAATTGGTATGACAATAAGCAAATATTTATATGCCATAGTATTAAATATATTTCAAATAATTTTCGGAACAAAAATTAATGAAGTATTTATTTATTTATTTAGGAATTTATAATATAAACCAAAACACATTTTGTTCCATTAAAAAAGATATATTCAGTATTAAAACAATATAATATTAATAAATATGTTTCAATGTACGATAGCTTATCGGGATAAAATCTATTAAAGGCATACATAGGCATCGACACACTTCGATAAAAAACATGACGCAAGCAATCTTGATAAATAAGAATACCGAAGCACAAAAGTACTTTTGTTAAAAGAATCTGCTGATGTTAAATTCTCTCTTTCACCCTCACATGATAATAAGTATCATAAAGTGGCTGTAAGCAAGAATGAAGTTTATATAAAAATCCTCTCAATGCTTCTTTATACTACAAGATCAATTATTTATTAAAACAAGAAGGCGACTACACATTGACTCATTATGTAATTATGAAAAATTTATTATAGAATTTTAATTTATCAATCTATTGTTGTATTTTTACTATTCGATTTGAATTTCATAGTATGCAAGTATTCGTTATTTCAATGAAATGTAAAAATTCTTATAAATTAATAGCTTCTAAACATCAAAAACATCTATACTGGTAATTAATTATAATCTTTTACTATTTGATCCTTATAAACTTTTATGTAAAATTACATAATACTGTAATATTATATGAATAATGACATATTAATCTACAAAAAAAAAAATATATTACCTAGATATTTAATTAATTTGGATAGAAAAAAATCATTTTTAGCATTAAATTATGTTTTGATTGAGAAATAGTTTTTTTAAAAAATTCTTTCTGAAATATGAAAAAATTGTTCAATTAAGATAATTTTATAATTTTTTATAAAATAATATTATACTTAATTTGTTTATGTTCTCAAGTATATGTCCGTAATAATTATAAGCATTGAATGTGTAAAATCTGAAGAAATTAAAAATGTTTTCATTTATGATACTTTTAAAATTATATTAGTAATAGTATTAATGTTTTAGTTGAATTTTGTCTATAAAGTCATGATAATTTAAATAAACATTCATATTGCTTTCAAATCAATTTAACTTTTCATAAATACATTATAGCAATAATACATATATTTATATGTGTGTGTGCGCGCGCGCGCGCGCGTGTGTGTCTGTGTGTCTGTATTTAAATTATTTATCGAATTAGTTTTTTTTTTTTAATTATTTATATATTTTTGTAATAACCCTCCTCGTTCTATTTTAATGTATGTATATTTATACTAATTATTGTTTCATGAATACTAGTAAGATATGGTTATTACTGGTAATTATAAAGTTGACCAAAAAAGTATTAAATAGATTTTTAACTAATTTATTCTAATTCATTCTAAAACTTTCTACTATAAAATGTACTATTTAATAATGATATAAATTTCTTACTAGCTTTTATATAATTCATAACATAAATTTTAATATTTGTAATTAAAAATGTTTTAAAAAGCTGCTCACGCTTTTACTCGCTGGAATAATTGTCAGCATTTTACAAGAATATAAAAGCTTAAATCAATAAATTTATATACTTTCACAATAACTACATTGCAATTTCAACATATCACTATGGGCCGAGGAAATTTAATTGCAAGTACATGAAACTGAGTGAACTAAATAAAACCGAATTAAATATTTTAATAGTTTTTATGCAGCACAAAAATTTAATTACTATTTCTTTGAAACTACAGGTCCAGCTTGGGGAATATCAGCGGGAATCGGTATTACCGCTGGGGCTCATCGTTTATGGGCCCATCGAAGTTACTCTGCTAAGTTGCCTCTCAGGATATTCCTAGCTATTTTATATTGCATGGCTGGACAGGTAAAGAACGTTTCTTTTCAGAACGTCCCTTTCATTAATATTGACTGATATATTATTTGATCACATATATTCACTAAGGATGTAAAATGTAGAGGAAATATTCATAATTTGATGGTTGTGTAAATACGACATCTCAGAGCTTCTTTCATATTAAAAAAATGTTTTTTCAAATCATCAAAAACTTCTCTTCAAAACTTATTTCAAATTAAATTTTCTTAGACTGAACTTTCAATGTATTAAAATTCATTAACGTGATAATACATTTCAAAGATGTATTAACTCGTGAGTGGAAAACTATATATTATATTTAGAATTTTTAGAATTTAAACTATCATTATCATAATATAAATTAGTTATTTTTATTTTATTTCTTTATGGTCGATTGCATATGTAAAGAATTATTAATATTTTGCCGACATTTACTTTATGCTTTAAAATTATTATCTTTCAAAATTACATTATATATAAAACTATCGATTTCAGATAAATTTTTTCTTAAAAATAGTTTTATTGAGTAATTAAATATCAACTGTAATAAAATCCCTTTAATATTATGAATATTAATATTACTATATTTCTACAGTTATAATGAAGATATTTCATTAAAATAAAAATTTTCAATTTATTTTATTAATATTTAAAATTACACAAAAATAATTTCTAATATTTTTTATAATAATAAAAATTTATATAATAAATTTTATGAAACTTTTATTTGTTCGTGGATACATTGCTTATGACTCATTAAACATATAATCCTTACTTATTTTCGATCATTATAATTAACAAAAAGAAAATTGTATTTTGTTTAATGAAACCATATATGAATTTCATAAAGAATGGCGTGAACAAGATTCAGAAAAATAAGAGACACGATAAGAAGAAAAAAGTTAATGGTAATGGTATCGAAGGAATATTAAACAAAATTTGAACAAAATTATATCACAAAAACTAAAAAAAATAATCAATTAATTCTTTATGAATACCACATACATTTACGTAAATAGAAAATAGAAGCATCAAAAGACATCGATATAATTATATAAAAGATAAAAAATATTGATTAATTTAATTAACTAAAAATATAAAAACAAAACAAATATTTGCTTGTTTAAAGAGATAACAGCACAATAAATGGACGAGAAAGATTCGTGTTAAAAGTATAAAAATTTTGAACATTTTCGGAAATCGAAGGCACCTGTTCTTTATTAGATATGCAGAATATATATTTGATATGCAGTTATTCACTATTCTATGAATATTAAAATTGGAGTAATTAAAAGGAGAAAAATAATGCGAGTAATTAACTTTCAAGTTTTATTTCAAGTATTGCTTTTAATTGTAAATATATAATGATGCTATAATTCTACATTATAATTGGAATACTGAATTGTAAATACAGCATTTTAAACTATTATATTAAAGATGAACATCTATCTTTCATCAATAATAGACTAAATGGTAATAATAAACTTTTAAGATAGTAGGTCAGTTATATCCAAATATCTCATTCATAAATAATATACGGAGGAAAGCAAATAAATTGCGCAGACGCTCAGAATACCATTATATCCAAATAATTTTAGCCAATCATAACGTGAATATCATAACAATAAGAATAGGAATTTTTGAAAGCTACATTATTTCTTATTATTATCCCCAATTATATTATCATTTAAAAGAATAATTCATAACTAAGTTTCATTATCACACATTTATGAGCATATTTCTATTTACATTGATAATTTAAAACATTATATTTTATTTTATCATTCTTTACATTTGAAATTGTATATTATCAATTAATTTTATTCTATTAACATTGCAACGTTATTAGAAAGTAATATTCTTTAAAAAGAAAAAAAAAACTTAATCCGTTAAATATTGCATGTTAGTCTTAAAAAAACGAAATTAGTGCATTTAAATTTAGCATAGAAGAGCCCCGTTTATATGTTTATAAATAAAATAAGGAAGGCCGATCGATAATATTATAATAAGATTTGACGAATGAAAAACAAATGGTTGAAATAGAAAATTTAATATATCCATCTATTTACAAATATCACAGTGGGCCCACAATTAACAGAAGTAAGGCAAGTGAGCTTAAGAAACCGGAAGTGCTCCCTTAGTATTTTACCCTTTAGTCTTCTCCCTTAGTCCTCTTCCTTAGGAGTGAAAATGTTGAATTCTTGAAACTAAATACCTTCCTCTCGAACCGAAAGTGATGCTCGTCCTAGATAATCCGCGACCCACCGACCCATACTCACGAATCCTTGCGTATATCTTGCCCGCCCGCATTTCTCCAATTCTCTAGTCCAGTGAAAAGATTTTCTTTCGCGTTTCGTATTCCAGGCATTTTCATTGTTTATCTGGATGGGGAAAACGTGAGTTTGTTCAATTTGCAAGCTGCAGACTCTGTAGGTTTGTACATAAACCAAAAATTGATATTATTTCTTATGTGTCATTGATTTTATAGCCTATGTTTAGCCATTACTCTTTGCAATATTTAAGTGGCTTTGCTTAAACTATAATAATGGGATGTCATTTTAAGGATTTTGCGTGGGAAAAAAATTTGGATGTTCGTATGCATTTTAGCCTATGCTTATTGCAACAATTCTAAGATTCGTTATTAACTATTCTTAAAGTGATTGTTAATAATAGAATTGATGTAATTATGATAGATCATCAAATAGAAATTCATGTAGAAATTTATATACATTGCTTTACTTCAATTCGATTAATTTCAAATTATATAATTATCTATAGAAATTTTTAAGTTTATGAGTATTCCAGAGATAATAAACTTTTTCATTCAATTAATTCAATTAGTTTGTAACTAAAAGTAATAACATCGCATTTTGCATCGTTCGAATGCAATTTAATATCAATTGTATTTTTTGTCAAAGTCTTATTGGAGACTTTGTTTCTCGTACAAAATTTCTGTTTTGTTAATTCTTCGAAAGGAGAATAGCTAAAAAGAACTTTCTCGTAAACTTAATTCTCAGACATCTACATTCAATAATATTACAAATGCAAAAACGTAATGTTTTAAAATATACTTGTATACTTGTTTTAGGTGCAATTTATTAATGGAAAAAACAAACGAAATTAAAATTTTAATGGTTTGGAAATTTAAAATATTCCGTATTAATTTAATGCACACTTTGTTTTAATCTTCCTTCCAGTATAATCTGGTTACCTCCACATTATCAAACACGCCTAATTCACGCTATTAAGTTTTAATTAAAACTTGAAAATTGTGTATGTGAAAACTGTTTCCAATGTCAATATTTACTTCAAAATTTTCATTTTTCATAATGATTATTCATATCATTTACTATTCGTGATAAAGAATTCTAACTTTCTATAATAACTCTATGCGGTTATTCAGTAGATTTTATTTCAAAACTTCAAAACCTTGAAATATTCCTTCTTATAGTTTCGCAATAATTATTGCATAAGATTTAAGATACAATTAAATTGGTGAATATTATTAAAAAAAAATTATAATATAATGCAATCAATGAATATTTAATTTATCTATATAATCAGATCCAAGCCATGTACAAAATATTTATTTAATAAAATATTGTTTTACTTAATATTCTTTTAGCTGTGAATGATTCCATCAGTTTATCATTCTATACAATTGTATATTGAACAATTGAATGAAACTTTAGCCCTTTGAACTAATTAAATTTAATTTTATCTTTTTACACTTCAAACAAATTTATGCATTTAATTAACTGTTTCTCGATAACTTCATGAAATTTCACTAATAACTTAAAACAGAATGATTTAAATGGCATATACGTTTTATTAAATATATAACAGAAAATTATTAAAAATTCATAAAATTTAATGGCAGATTTGTGCATAAATATAAAATAATTCCTTAAGTGATAAACGATAATATAATTGAGTTATTTGACTTTTATTTGATGTACTATGATATTATTTTCAATAATCTATATTTGAATTAATAATAAAACTAAAGTTAAGGAGTATTGTTACCATCTTTTGAAAATAATTTTTTTTCATAAGGTCAAAAATTAAAGTTAAAAATAAAAATTAAATTTTTATTATTAATGTGTGCATATATGACATTATTTTTATTCAAGTACAATGAAAGAAAGGTTACGAAGGAAAAATGATTTTCTTTTTAATTTAAGCAATTTTGCAATAACCGACATATTAAATTTTTATTTACAATAATTCGATAAAATATATAAATATGAGCTAAGAAAAATTTCAAAAGGAAAGTTTATACTTATAATTTTTATGTCCAAGTAGGCCTCTTTTTGAAATTTTCAAATCAACCGGCTCATCTTAATTAGACAGTAATCAGATAAAAACAACCAAGATTTACTTCACTTTCTAAGACGTATGTTATCTACACTTTATTCTACTTTCTGAATTTTAATATGATCTTAATTAAAAAAATTTAATAATAATAAATTTTATCGAATTTTTACATAAATTCTTTTTGAAAAACAAAAAAAAAATACTTTTTGAACGAGAGATTCATATAGAAAATTCTTTTACTATAATTTTTTGTACGTGCATAGATATGCTTATGCACGCAATTATTTTTAATTATATCTACCGAAATATCTATCTAAACGCATGAAATAAATTTTAAGATAACAAAAAAAAGTATGGTCTAGCAATTGTATAAAGACCAGGCTAATACCAAATACTTAATGAGCTTGGAACAAAAACTAACCATGTTCCATCCGATTTTTATTATCCTGTTCCCCTGAATTTTCTCGTTTTCTGCTCCACAATCATTATTTGTTTCTTTTTACTGATATATATTTTTCTATCGAATAGTTTTCATGAGTTTAGTTTTTCTTTTTTATTCACGCTTTCGACAGAAAACAGCCATTGTGCTGTACAGCAGTAATGGTTTACAAAAATATAACATTTAAATGAGTTGTTTTCTAATGCTATGCGAGAAGAGATCGTAAACAGGAACATTCAGATAATTTTCACCAAAGAATGTATTTTCTCTATTTGAGTTGTACGATTACGCGATGATGCATAGATTTCTTTAAAGTTTGCTTCTAAGTTTCGAGAAATTTAATAACACGAGGAATGTATATTATAAACAAGTATTTAGAATCAAATACATTTTATCGACTGAAATTTCGTATTCGTATAAAAGTATATTATTTTCAATATAATTTACGTATACAATAAATATAATTCGATGGATATATACAGATAAAAATACAAATGTATAGATTTACCTTTATACCGTTTAATTTCTTTAATATTTAAAGGGTTTCAATCGTTTAATATTTATAATTTTTGGTGTATCAAAGATTTGAGAAATGCAACAATTGTTAATTAAAGCAAGTAGAAGTATTTATACATTGCATTATTTTACAAATTTACAAATTGTAATAAATAATTACAAACTATCGTACAATGATTGAAATCTCTTCGCTAGACTGCAAAAAGTATTTATAATCTAAATACAAAGATTTATAAATGTAAAACCTATCCCGTAACTCGTCAATTTTTATATCCAAATGGCATCGCGGAAACGGTTATGTTGGTGTCAAAACTATGCTTTTAAATTTCATAGCGAAGCTGTGTATACTTTTGTTTCCAATTACTGTCAAAGAAAGGAAAACCAATGTTGCTATTTTTGCTTGATGTTGGATAAGGGGAGAGGAATGCATCCTACTTGCACGAGCTTCTTTACGACGCAACTCTTGGTTTGAATGTCGCAGCTACAGATACGATGTCATTTATTTCTCTCAATAGCCGGAAGGAGCAATCCAATATCGCAGTATGGCTATGTTAAGTTGCTTCTACTCGCGAGAAGGACGAATTTCCTTTACATTACTTTACGACAATGACAACGATGATGCATTCAACGCAATTTCGGTGCTTCGTTGAGCGTATCTATGAAAAGTTTGAGCGCTTGAAATGTAGTAAACAAGTCCTACTTTAATAAAAGTTTGTAATTAAGAACATTATTAAACTTGCTTTATCTATATCTTATTTTTATTTTATTCTGTATACATTTTTCATGAGAAAAAACTCAATAAACAGAAATGTACAGGTATTACGCTCACTAACTATACATAATTAATAGATAAACAAATAATATTCAATCAATTATTTTAAAAATTGAAAATTTAAGAATGAAGAGTAATAAAATACATAAATTCATAAGTGGGAAACTTTTTTTTTTGAATACACCATATCAATTTAAGCATAAATATAAATACGCAAAGAAAATTGAAATATCTTAATGATTAAACAATATTTTTCAATGGGATATGTGAAAATATTTAAAAATGAGAGAATTATTTAAGCAGAGAATGAATTAAATATATATAAATATTAACTTGAATCGAAGAAATTAATTACCAATTTTCACAATTAACAATTTTCTTTTAACGAAGAGTATGCAAAATACGTTTTATAGATAAAATAAAATATACAAATATTTTATTTTGAAAAATGTGTTTCTTATTTCCAATTATTTCTTCACTCACTCTCTCTCTCTCTCTCTCTCTCTCTCTCTCTCTCTCTCTCTCTCTCTCTCCATCTCTCACTCTCTCACTCTCTCACTCT